GCCTTACTAGTAGTAACAAGAAGCTACTAGGAGCATTCTTACTAGTAGCGTTTGATTGAAATGTCCGAACAGCGCCGCTCAGGTGGTCCCGAGCTTGGCTTTGCTTCGCTCTGGCGATGCTCACAGCGCGCTTGCCCAGTGGAGCTTGTGAAAGAATGGACAAACGAACAAGTACCACCAACCCACGTACCCAAGAAGAAACTCCCGCCTTTTCTGTGTGATTCCGTACTTTATCGCATGACTTTGCATTTGTACGTGTGTCTTTCATGCATGTTCGGAGAAGAAGCTGGAGTATATGAAGGGTGCCTGTTCCGAAAAATACGAAAGCAGAAATAGGTGGTTTCCTGTTTGGGGTTGCTTTTCTTTAGACCTTTAGACCCATTTGTTCCTTTCTTTCTTTCGTTCCCTCGATGTTTTGAGCGTTGCCCTTGTATCGTCCACACTGCATCAACAAGAGAATCGACGAATGAGGACAACAGAGGGCCTGATGGGTAGCAAGTGTGTCGAGGAGGGGACAACTTGTCCTGCAAGTTCTTCAAGTTCTGTTTTTTTCTTTCGCGAATGGTCAAATCTCTTTTTCGTGACACCTGAGTAGTAAACACTATGCAAACACATCACCTGGTGGGCCCCTCTATACCTCGGATGGCAAACATCAGGCTGCAAGTGTTCCGTTGGCCTTGCAAAAGTGTATGAAAGAGTGGAAAAGTCGGCAGGACCAATCAATGCTGAATGCAATACGCCTGGGCGCTGAGACAAAAATAGCTTTCGCCCTCCTTGTGCAACGCCTTGTCCAACGATGCTCCTAGTAGCGTTCTTGCTCCTACTAGCGATGCCCTTTGCTCCTAGGAGCTTCTTGTTCCTAGTAGCCCCTAGTAGCGTCCTTGTTCCTAGTAGCGATGCCAGGAGCCCCTAGTAGCTTTTCGTTCCTAGGTCTTGGCAATGGCGAGGCGGAGCGCGACTTGCTTTTGATTGATCTGAGGACGGATGCCCCGAACGTAGCGTCCGATCGCTCCTAGTAGTAGGGCCAAAAGCCCCTAGTAGCATTCTTGTTCCTAGTAGCGATGCCCTTTGTTACTAGTAGCGAACATTGTACAGATAGCCTGAAGTTGATTGCAGTTGTCACGAAAGTCAACGTGCTGCAAAACCCAGATCAAGAGAATTGCTTTTCAGCAGCAGAAGATCCGTTTTTGCAAAAATAACGAAAGAAGGGGAAAGGAAAGAAAAAGATCAAGGTCTGATGCTCTAAAGAAGTTTGGCACATGAGTCCACAGGCCAAAGGTCAGCGCTTGGGTCAACAAGGCTCGCGACTTGGCCAGCGCTATCTTTCGCAGAAAGAGCCGGAACGCTATTATTGAAAAGGTTCATGGTTTTCTTCTTTTGTTCTCGGTTTCCATTTACCTGGCATTCGTTTGGAATTTGCCTAGGCATTTTGAGATGAGATGTCATGACAAGTAAGACACTGCAGCAATCCTACAGGCTGGGGGTGGTGGCTTCGAGTCCTACCCGAAGTGCCGGATGATTTGGGGAGGCCATTTTCCAAGACCAAGAGACTGGAATTGAAAAAGGTTATTATCGAGCTGAAACCAAAAGTTGAAGAATCAAAACATCCATAAGCTACTAGTAACAATGGCATCGCTACTAGTAGCAAGGACGCTACTAGTAGCTCCTGGCCATTCTACTAGTAACAATACATCTCTCGCCCGAGGAGGACCCCCACCACCCTTGTCCATGCCAACATTGCACTGGCGCCGCAGCACTTGGCACCTCTCCCTGTGTTTTGAATACCTGAGGCTCGTCTATCCGACGCCTCCTCCTGCAACTATCGATACTCCCAAGCTTCTGGCGCGATGAGCTCCCTCTTTCCAGTTTTTACTAACCCCAGCATCCCGATTAAACGTCGGCTTGATATGTACCCCCAAATTGTGGTGTGAGTCCGTCTATACTCCTGCGCAAATCGTCAACTCCCTTCACTACAGGGTTCTCCGACAAATTTTTGGCATTAAAAGTATTCTCAGGTCCTCCATCCCTCCCAAGAGGCCTGCTCAAATGACTACCTCCTTTCACTTGCCTTCCGGCATGCCCCTCGTCTCATCTCCAGTCAACGCAGTCCAGCGACTCCGGTACTTAGGCCACGTCATCAGACATTCGCCTACATAGAACGTACAATGCGTTTTCACCCCTCCCACTCCTTGCGCCTCTCCTCTCCGCCACCGTGGCCTCCTACAACAGCACCAGCACCCCTCCACTCAAGACGTTCACCATCCGATATACCAACTAACTTGGTACAGCCGCTACGATGCAGCAATATTTTGGCCCCTCCCTTTCTGACTGCTATGATACTACCCGCATTTGCTGCGCTCTCCACCCCATCGCAGAGGAACGCATCATTTGGGATCAAATATTTTTCCTGGAAAATAGGATTGTTTTCACTCGAACACTGCTGACGTGTAGTCCATTCGCATTGGCCGCGGACTGCATTTCGCTTGTTAAACAAAGTAAAGTAGTAATGCCAGGAGCTAGTAACGACGTCCTTGCTCCTAAAACATCCATCGTTCTACTTCGAATCTGGTTGGCGCTGAGCGGTCGCCCCGAGGCATCGACAACATCCATGTAGTGAGAGACGCCTGGCGTGCCATGGGAAGTGCTGTAGCACGTCTTCAGGATGCCCAGGCGCCACTGCCGAGTCAGGAAGAGATGCAGGAATTCGAAGAGAAACACCGGAAAAGGTTTTTTATCGCGCTCAATCCACTTGAACTGACACAAAACATGAAAGAGCTCCTGCTTTTTGGCGTCGCATGAAGCTCGCTGCTTTGAGGTGGCATAGGGTTTCTATCGGTTTCATTTTTCGGCTTCATCGGTTTGAGTACGCGACGCGGCTCAACTCGGGCATCGTTCTTCAACTCGGTTCTCTTTTGGAGGTTGGCTCATGGCTGAAGGACGTGGCCAACTCGGGGTGGTGCGCCCGAGCGGACCAAAATAAATGTGATGGTTTGATGAAGGTCGGTTGAGAAAACACGAAGATATTGATTGCGTGTCTGGGATATCAAACGGCAGCTACCATGCAGGTACGACTACATCGGCGCGATCCTCTCCTGCACGCCTCTCTCTCAGAGGATCTTGCAACGAGCGCCTCTCGTTGGGTGCGAACGAGCGCCTCCAACGACTCGTTGGGTCGTGAAAGGCTGAAGGCCGTGACGGAGATCTTGACGTTCAAATCCAACGTCGTGGTGGATCCTGCCTTGCTTAGCAACCTAAGAGCCATGGCCTCCAACCTACTAGCAAAATGGCCCCCAACCTAAGAGCGGTGGCTCCTGCCTTGCTTAGCATCTTGCCATTTGCCCTCTTGATTTGAAGATAAATCGGAAGCACGAACGAGCACGAGTTTGAGCTGCCAGATCCACTGCTCTGATGGCTGGGATCGCACAGCACAGGCCGGGCAAGCACTATTGAGAGAAGGAGCTTTCTTCGTTTGAAGAAGTTCTAGTGAGTTTCTAACACGAGAACCACTTTCCAACCTTCGGAATTGTTTCTCTTCCAGCGCTAGAAGAGACATGTATCCATCCAAGTCAGGCAAAGAGTAAGTTCCACGCAGAGCTTTAGAGAAGAAAAAGAGCTTTGTGCACCTGTGGCGAATTCCCCACATGGGCTCAGTTGCACTCCAGTTGCGCTTCCGGGGCGGCAGGATTCAGTGAACGGAAAATCGGTGTTTGAATCGGCTTTTGGAAGGGGCACCAGCAGCGAAGCTGCAAAAACGGACGCTACCTCATCGAGCTTTTTTTGTTGCTTTCTCTGCCAAGGTTGCCTCCCTGTCGATGCTTTGCATGGATCCGCACTACCGCACACAGGCCGTTGAACCGCACACGGGTGTGCTTTGGCGGTTGAACACGTTCATGCCACCGCTTGGGGTTTCAACTTTAACCGCTCTTTCACATCTTGCGCAAGAGGAGCAATTCCAATGGCGGTTCCCCTCCCAGCAAAATAAAGTAGTTGGCAAGTGCCCCCCGAAGCATTCAAAACGTGAACTAGGAAGATCAGAGAACAGTTTATATGGATGTAGTTACACAGCAAAAGCAGAGTGTTTCTACAGAAGGCTTTTGGGATGTGTGTTCGAGAGAGAGGCACGGAGAAAGACCTCAAGCTACAGAATTTTGGTGAGCTGTGTTAGGTGACCTCAAGATGATGAACACTACTATTAGGTTGGAAGCCATTGCTATTAAAAGGTGGAACAGAAGTAACAACGCACGACTTCAGGAAGAACCGGCCCCTGCACCGGTCAATCCAAGCCACTTCGATCCAGTCTTGTTCACACCAATGATTCCCCTCCAAAAAGTGGCCGCCTTGCAACTGGGCTAAATCGGCCCGGACCCCAATCTTTCCTAGCTTGTTAGGTGGGATTCCTAAAGCTCGTGCAGAAGGAGTGGTGCTCCTTCGGACATCGTTTCCGCACACGTTTGGGGCGGTCCTGCCCTGTTTGTTGACCAAGTACTGCCATAGGCACTTGCATGTGCCGGTTGGCAAGAAACTGCCATGGAAAAAAGAAAGGATTGGAGGCCATCGCTATTAAGTTGGAGGCCATCACTACTAGGTTGGAGGCCATCGCTACTAGGTTGGAGGCCATCGCTACTAGGTTGGAGGCTATCGCTCTTAGGTTGGAGGCTATCGCTCTTAGGTTGTAGGCCATTGCTATTAGGTTGGAGGCCATCGGTATTAAGTTGGAGGCCGTCGCCAAGAGGTTGGAGGCCATCGCTCTTAGGTTGTAGGCCATCACTATTTGGTTAGAGGCCATCTCCACTAGGTTGGAGGCTCCCACTCCTAGGTTGGAGGCCATTGCTAGTCGGTTGGAGGTGGCTATTAGGTTGGTGGCCATCGCTACTAGGTTGAAGGCCATTGTTCGCCATTGTTCCTAGGTTGTAGGCCAGCGCTATTACGTTAGAGGCCATCGCTACTAGGTTCGAGGCCATCGCTCTTAGGTTGTAGGCCATTGCTACTAGTTGGAGGCCATCGCTACTAGGTTGGAGGCTATCGCTCTTAGGTTGTAGGCCATTGCTATTAGGTTGGAGGCCATCGCTATTAAGTTGAGGCCATCGCTCTTAGGTTGGAGGCCATCCCTATTAGGTTGGAGGCCATCGCTACTAGTTGGAGGACATCGCTGTAGGCCATCGCTGTTTGGTTAGAGGCCATTGCTACTAGGTTGGAGGCTACTGCTCTTGGGTTGCAAGCCATCTCCATTAGGTTGGAGGTCATCGCTACTAGGTTGGAGGCTACTGCTCTTAGGTTGTAGGCCATTGCTATTAGGTTGGAGACCATGGCTACTAGGTTGGAGGCT